CCCCCCCCCCCCCCCCCGCCCAAAATTGCCCATAATATACATGATAGTGCCCATAACAGTTCTCACAACATAAGGAGAAGAGCGGTCACAGCCAGGAGCAGCTGAACATGGCACTTGCAGTAGCAGTTTGATAGTTGTAGTCGCAATTGGAGATGCAGTACCAGATGCAGTCGTTGTGGTAGTAGAACGAGCGACAGGTGATGGCAGTTGTGATGTTGGTGGTCGTCGTCGTAGTGGCAGTGGCAGTGCCAGTAGCAGCACAAGTAAGAGCAGCAGGAGCAGTAGCAGCTTTAATGTTGTGGATGAAGCTTTCAACGTTTCCTCATGACAGCATCAACGCGAACAGTCCGTAGCACCATATAGTGCGCTATAGGCTCGAACAGAAGCCCGGAAACTCGAAGCCTCATCGTTGCACGAGCCTCGGGGTTCTGAGCTGTTAACTGGAGGATGGGGGGCTTTGTAGGTAGGGCTTTACTACATATACGCATGTATGAATGCATGCATAGTATGCATATGTGTCTGTGAGTATACAAATATGTGCATACACGTGTGAACCTCACTTGCAACAATACTTACTCAGCCCCTCCAACCCTTTAAGAAGGGGTTACATGGCTTGGGCTTCGGGGGCCCCAAACCCTAAACCCTCAACCCTAAACCCTAAACCCTAAGCCCTAAACCGAAGCTCATAGACCCATGAACCCCAAAACATCCCGAGCCCAAGTCCCGGCCAAGGATGCCATGATGCGGCATCTCAACCGCACCCTCCCGGACTTTTCGCACTTGGTCGTAGCAGGGACCAACTTCGAAGTCTTCACCCGGGCGTGCCTGGGCTTCAACGAGCTTCGGGGGCTTTGGGCTTAGGAGTTTAGGGGTTTAGGCGTTTAGGGGTTTAAGGTTTAGGGTTAACGTTTAGCGGTTGAGGGTGTCAAGGTTTTCCACCGTCGTTTTACGCGGTTGGGCTGCATGGTTTCGAGCGATGCACTATGTGTCAGAATTGCTTATTTCATCGTGAACCCGTATGCTAGTGATAGAATGGCATCTCCTTAGACCGATGGCGGATCCTGTTCAAACAGACCTGCCCCTAAACCACTACATTGCGAACCGGAACCACCAGCCCGCAGCCAGAAACCCTAAGCAACATTGCGAGCCTGTTGTGAATCCCAGAAAGCCCCTCTGTAGAGCCCAAAAAAGAACTTGCACAGAAGCCTTACAGAGTTTCGCAGGACTCCTATGAAACCCTTATAGTTCCCTGAACTTTCAAAACCCTAAACCCTAAACCGTCACAGAACTTCCTAGAGCCTTTTTTTGAGCCCGCTTCGGAAACTTTTCTTTCATGCCCGAGCCGACACCTGGCTTCTGATCCCTCAGCCCTTAAGCAGGCATAATATATAGGGGCCTTGAAATTTACCTATGCTATTTTTGGGTTTCCTTACTCTAATTATAGTATAAGATACCCCAATGATTAGAACTAATAGGTTTGGGAGTATAGTATACTATACCTACAATAAGGAAGCCCCAAAACCCTATTCTTCTTGTTAAGGCCCCTACAGTAGACTGCTGAGGTTCTGTTTGGATTTCGGGTCCAGGGTTTAGGAATTGCAACAGTCCTAACCTAGGTCCGTTTTGAAAATTGGGGTTGAGGGTTTGCATTGTGGGGTTGCAGGGCTTCTGTTTAGATTTGTGAATATTAATTATGCTTCATTGGCTCATGTAGATAAATTGCACAGAGATTTTTGGACTGACCTGGGTTTGCTTTGGAGTTTGAGATCTGATACACCAAACGTTTTCTCATGAGAGCCGTGAGAGCGGGAACGATCAGACATTGGCCGGTCTAGCTGCCAGCCATGTCGTTGCACATTGTGGAACGTTATCAGTGGGCCAAGCCAAAAAAGCTTCAACCCTCAATTCTACACCCTAAATCCTAGCACTTGGAGTTTCTAAACGTGATCTCGCATAGGTTCCATTGCCCCTGGAGTGCCCACAGCGCGTCCCAGAACCAACCCCAGAATGGACCTCGGGATCCCAGGGGGCCAAAATAATTACCAATGCTATTTTGGGGGTTCCTTATTATAAGTAGCGTATAGAGGGCCCTAAAATCTTATTCTAGTTACTACGGCCGCTATATTAAATTCCTGCCGAGCCTGAGGACAAAACCCCAGATAACACTTTCGAAGCTCAGGTGGTGCATTGCAGAGATCGTGGAGTCCGGCATGTCGGACATCAAGCAACGCATCCTGTAACTTTGCCTAGCATTCAGGGTTTCGAACTGAGATTACACCCCCGAAGTCCCAAATTCCAACATTTTGAATGCGGTTTAGGGCTTAGTGTAAGGGTTTACAGGGTTTAGGGTGTATATGGTTTTGGCATCTTAGGCTCATGAGTCCGGAAGTCTCGAGCCCTGAACTCGATATACTAGGTGCTGTTTCAGGAAAGAAGGGGAGCTGAGAAGTTTCAGGGAGAGCAGAGTCCGTGGCTACTCCACTACTCAAACCACTCGCACAACAGAAGGTAGACGCTTTCAGGTTTCAGGGCCTTTGCGGGCACCTTGATCTCAACAAACCCCGCGTGGCCTCTGCCAAGGATCCACTCCGAGGAAACCTTGGATTGCAACTACCAGCGGCTGACGTGCATCGACGTGCGCCGGTGTCAGGCCACACGTCCCGAGGACGGTTCACGGATTTCAGGTGTTAGGGTTGTCGTTGTAATTGGTATCGCCGGTATCGCAGTGTCGGTACACATCCAGGGGTTGGGCGCATCCCGGCCTGTGTATCCCATGCGGTGCCATGCCATCATCACCATCATCATTATCATCATCGTCAGCATCAGTATCATCAGCACTCCAAGCCGTTGCGACCCGTTCGCTTTGCTAGCCCCTCTGGCACGACAAAGAAGCCCAAAACCCTTAGACCCTAAAATCCTGAAGCGTAGACTCAAGACCTTAAACCCCTAACCCCCTAAGCATCGACCCAATACTCTAAACCCTAACCCCCTGACCTCAATGCCAGGCCTAAACCCAAAACCCTAATCGACCCATACATCCTCTAAACCCTAACCCCCTGACCTCAATGGCAAGCCTAAAGCCAAAACCCAAATCAAGCCACACATCCGGCAGGATAAGGAGATGATCCTCAGTAACATCAGGGACTTCGACGAGTTTAATGCCGCCCTGCATTCGGCCATCTACGGCTCCGAAGGCCTCCAATTGTAGGGTTTAGGGTTTGTATCGTTTTATGGAGTTTGTCTAGAGTCTTTGCAGGGGGTTTTGGAGTGCTTTTACAAGAGCCTTGAAGGTACGTTATCTACGGGGGCTTCTGGGTAGGGTTTTTTTTGTTGGGTCTTGTCGGCGTTTGCGCCGGGTTTTACGGGACGTTACTTTGGTTTAGTTGAGGCGCCTGAATATGCGGTACTAGAAGGGTGGTGTGAAGGGGTTCCTGTAAGTTCTTATTTTGTGGAATCTAAATAATCAGCATTAGCATTCCTTCATGGTCCGTATTAGTATAATACTGCAAGACAAAAATTCTACTGAATAGGGCTTTGGAGTGAAGGACCCATAGGTTTCAGGGTGTTGGGGAACCCACTCTGCAACCCCCAAACCCAGCCCCTGCCTCGGAAGGTATGATGACCAAGTTTGCCGACGGTTTGAGCGTTGCCCAGCAAGTTGGCCACATGGTGCGTCGCGCGAGTGCCTGGGCTGGAGGAAGTGAGGTTTGCACAGGTGCAGGTCCTATCTCCATAGAACTACACTTTTGTCGCTCTATTCAGCATGCTCCAGAAGTCCAGGCCCAATGAGGAAGCCCTAAACCCTAAACCTTAAACCCTACAAAAAGCTTCCATGCCCATCTAGTTGAGCAGATGCTTCACTGCGGAAGTTTCGAGTCCTAAAGCGATGCATCATGATTTTAAACTTGCAGCCGGGGCCCTAACCCTAAACCTTAAACCCTAAACCCTAAACCCTAAATTTTGAAGACCCAAGACCACGAAACGCTGGTAAGCGACTCCGAGGTACTTACGGCTGGCACCTGGGCTCAGGCTGGGCGGTTTTGGCTGAAGTACGCCTGCCTGAACCCTACCGCCACAACTTCTCAGGACCGTAAGCACCCAATTAATCCCTACTTCCCTCCACCGCAAACCTGATGAAGGAGTTTCGTAACCAGGGATCTACATTACGGTTTAGGGTTTAGGGTTTAGGGTTTGGGGTTTAAGGTTTAGGGTCTTAGCGCCTGTGGCTCGCGCCTTCACTCTAACCCATCTGCGCTCCGCGGTCCTTGTGGAGCCCACCTGGCACACCCTGAACCTTAAATCCCAGCACTTTCATCCCTAAACCCTAACTACTAACATGCGAAACTGCACCTCGTAGCTAGAGCCCTAAGCCATGAGACCCCACAAACCTCCAGAGTTCTTTCCCTAAAAAAAGCCCGACAGATCGCCATGGACCCCTATCAACACCCCTTTTAAACCTTAAGCCTTGAGCTTACAGAAAAGCCCGTGATCCTAAGCCGTTGATACACCCCAATTTAAACTCGAAGGTTGCCGCCAAACCCTAAACCCTAAACCCCAAATCCTAAACCCTAAACCCCAAACCCTAAAGCCTAAACCCTAAACCCTAAACCCAAAACCCTAAAAGCCCTGAAGCCTTAAAGCCCTGAACTTCTTAGGGCTCCAGCAAGCGAGGCTCATCCGTCGGGAGGACCTCAACGGCCTCCTCGGACAGGGTCTGAGGGTCTCAGTGCTCCGGAGACTCAGCGCGGGGGGTGTAGAAGGGTCCTCGTTAGGTTTAGGGTTTAGGGTTTAGGGTTCAGGGGGGTGTAGAAGGGGTCCTACCAGTGTTTAGGGTTTAGGGTTCAGGGGGGTGTAGAAGGGATCCTACTAGGGTTTGTTGAGATTTTATCGGGTTCAGGGCTTCGGGGAGTTTCGGTTTCAGGGCTTGGAGATCGAAGTCTCCTGGCTTTGTCTCCAGCATATCCCTATATGGTTCGGTTGTACGCGGCTTTCGGGTTCAGGCTTGAGGGAGCAGAATAGGCAGGGTTGCTTCGGGCTCTCAGACTGTGTTCTTCCCTAGGGTGCCCCAGTATGTTCCTAGTACAATGTACCCCAACACCCCTTTCTGATCATCATGGCACCTATAGTAGATTGTACCACCCGGGGCCTCAAGGGTTTTAGGGCTCCGTGTGCGCTTGGAGAGTCCGGACTTGCACAAGCAGAAATCCTTATTCCATGGGTAGTTTTCTAAATTAGGGTCCCTTTTAGGGTCCTGTTTTTAAAGGGTGCCGTATTATATTGGGGACCTACAAGGGGACCCTAATTTAGAGAACTACCCACATGCCGCTGTGTTACTGTTCTCTGCTGCAAAGAGAAACAGCCACAGTACTTCGTCCTCGGTACATTGAGTAGCTTTCCTACTTCTAGCTCGTCTTATGTCCCCTTTGTGCTGGCCATTAAAGCCACTGTGCCATGCAGAAGTGCTCAGCATGCAGGGACAGGGACTCAAAGCTTTAGCGTGTTTGAGCAAAGTGTTACAGTTTACTGCGCAAGTTTTCTGGCTCGCCCAGTGAGAGGCGCAATTCAAGCTTACAGCTTACAGGTGTCCGAGGTATCTCAACTAGAATGCCCGTCCTACTAGGAACTCAGTAAGGTTTCACATGGAAGTTTAGGAGACCATAGGTCGTGAGCCGCGCCAAAGCAAAAACTGGGAGCTGTGCCGGCCAACTTGAATCGTTGTAAGCTGAGTGCGCAGCGGCATCCATCGCCCGAATTCGCACCCTGACGGTATTCTGGGAGAGCCGTAGCCACTTACCTTCACACCTCGACCCAGCTATGGGATGCGGGCTCGTAGAAGTCCTAGCGTCTCCTTACTTATGACCTAGGTATGGCCGCAACCCTTAAATCCTGAAGTATGAGATCGCAAGTTGCCAAGCCGACAGCTAAGTCACGCCAATAACTGACATGCCTGAACCTCTGCCGGCACCCCGCTTCGCGGTATGTGATGGCATGGGTGTTTCGCCCTAGCTCTCCCTTCAACCTCGAGCCTAGAGGGACATGAGATTCTCAAGCTGTCTTCTTCCAGAATCGCGAAGTACTGGCCCATTATCGCTTTTCTAGCCGTCGCAGGTAGCCAGAGACCTTCCACTAGTCTCGGCCCTCAGTCATTCCGGGCGGCCCTCCTTTTACCCAGGGTGCTGCATGGACTTTGGGGACCGTTTCCGGGAATCGGAAGGTTGCCCCACTTTCGGGAGAGCACCCCTGACGGCCGAGTTCCCAAGCTCTACAAGCGGGGCTTCGGAACTCGCCGGCCCTGTGTCCAGAGCTTGGACCCGAGGGTTTAAGTCCCTCCAACCTTTCGCTGAAGGCCCCATTGCACTAAAAGCCTAGATCCTGAACCCACCAGTCCAACGAGACTTCATGGTGGTGCTCTGTTTAAAGTTTATCGCGCACGTCGCGAAAGATAGAGAAAGCCAACTGCTTAGAGGAGTCTGTTCCACCGGCGCGTGGCCGTGCTCTTCAAGGTATCAGTGTAGGAGACGAATGAAGGCACCAACCTCATTGTTCCATAGTGCCTATCCATAATCTAGTCCTGTGTGGTCCCTCTGCGGTTTTGGTATATTCAGCCCTCGAATGATTGAGGTCTTTGCATGACAGAGGTTTCAAAGGGCCGGAAGCGCAGCACACTCAGTCCGAGACGCCCTATTTCAGCGGGTATTGAAGGATTTCGAAAAGGATGCACATCTCTTTCTTCAGTCTTCGCAACGCCACAGCGCCCGGCAGGGGCAAATCCGGATGACCGCCCTGCAAAAGACTGGGCGCACAAGTCTCTTGCTTCTCAGGGGATGGCCCAGGGTGTGTAGAACGGGGTTTTGGGAGTGGCTTCGTTGTTCCCCTAAAGCCCCGAACACCGGAACCCTGGCCTTCGCTACTGAGAGCGAGAGCACAGCGCATAGCTCCGCCGCCGGCCAAGTTTTTTCACGCACTTGGTGCAAACACTTATATGTTGTATGTTATATGTTTTACTCATGCGTGAACTTGTGCATATGCGCTCATATGTATGTAGTTATGTGCCTCTGTCCGTCTATCCATCTATCCCCCATCCGCCCATTTATCCATCCATCCATGCATCCATCCATGCATCCATCCATGCATCCATCCATGCATCCATCCATGCATGCATGCATGCATGCATGCATACATGCATGCATGCATGCATGCATGCACACATACACACACACACACACTACATACATACACATCATGTTCACGTACATACACA